TTCCTCTTCAGAGCAGAGAGTGCTTGTTACTAAAGAGCTGGTTGGGGATGAGGGGAGAAGTGAGGAGTGTGAACACAGAAGCGGCGCGCATGCACACAGCCTTGCTCTGCAAGCAGTGAAATCCGTCAATTTTGTGTGCTCCCGGGCCAAGGGACTGCTAAGAGAAAAGCCAAAGTAGATACTTCTTCACTGCCCAAAGTTTTCTTTGTTTTTTTTTAATATCTTAAATAGCAATTTGCATAGGCTGATTTTTTTTCCACCCCTTCTCCCCTCCTTCTGGGCCATATCATTCTGCCAAGCACCGTAAATCTCTTAACTCCTCTTAATAAGCTCAAGTGAATGAGTTGAGGATGTCTAGCCGTTCGCGAGCATCACAACAGCCCCGACCACAAGCGCTGTCGCTTGGCAAGGTTCACAGCAGACGCCCCGGCGAGATTATCGGGTGTCGACTTCCATCTGGCATTTGTTAGAGCTGGGAAAAAGGAAAAAAAAAAAAAAAAAAAAAAAAAAAGCAGTTCTTATCAGATCCTGAAATAAAAAGAGCACTTCCACTTCAAGGGGCAGCAACTGGAAAAATGTCTTTGTGTTTGAAGCTTTAAAAATATCTTGCCCTTGAGGTTGGCTAAGCCTATACGCTGCTTCGAGACCCCTTTCCCATACAAAGGTAGTAAAGTCTAGCTTACGGTTACCGAAATTCCCAGCACATAAAAATTACAGGAAGCTGTTGCTAAGTAGTCCTGCTACCTAAGTAAACATCACAAAACGTTTCCCACACACACCTCTGAACTTTGTTATTCAGACCGGCCTGGAAGATGTTCCCAGTCCCAGGGCTGCTCCTCGCTCGGTCCCATCGCGCGGAGCTCGGAGGCACCTCGGGCTGAGCAGAGCCAGCCCCTTGCTGTGCTGCTTGCACCAGGAATCACACCAAAGCTGCTTAAGCTGCTCCTCAGGCCCTTACCTGTCCCTTTATTTCCCTGGAGGAGTCACAAGAAAGTGTGACACGCTCTATCCTCCAGGCCTTCTCACTTCCTATACAACCACAGGAAAAAAAAAATACATATATATAAAGATGAAACGTCATTGCTTTTATGCTATACCTTCCTCAGCATCTCCTCTCTATGCCAGTTACCCCAGACGGGCAGCCCTTCTACCTGCCCTGTTTTACCAGCTAGTTCTGCAACTGGCCCAAAAGGTTCTGCTTTCTCTCAATAGGGTTGTAACTTTGCCATGAATTCTAGAAGCACATCCCTTGCTTTTATTGCATGAAACAAGACACAGATCAAAGAAAGAGTATCCACAAGCCCGAAACAACCAACCACATTAAATAATTCAGACTTCTACCTAGCTGAAGTCCCAAGAACAGAATCCTGCAAGGGTTTCATTTTAGACAAACAGGATAACTAGAATTCATCATAGTCTCTAATAAATTAAACTCATATTCCAGATATCCATCCTTGCAATCCGGAACGCAGCCTTTCAATAGTCACAGGGGACTGCCTGATATTACAGATTGTTTCCCTGCACATTTTTATTTGGCCATTCCACTTTTCCTTCCTAATACCTTTTCCCACCTCCAGATGACTCAATATGCAACTAAAAGGCCAAACAGCCTTTACAAAGAGGCTATCAAAGCGGCCAGGCTGCCGCAGAGCGTGCACGTACAGAGAATTGGCAGGAAATCCTCTTTTACAGGGAATTGTTGCTTCAAGCGGCGCGATGGACATATAGCATTTTTATTGCATAAAGAGAGTCATGTGGAAAAAAATGCAAAATACGAAAATCATGTTTGGCAAATCTGAACTGAGGTCTAAGACGTGGCATTTCCAGCATTTTTGTTGTCTGAATTCTTCAGGAAAGTCACTCACTGCATGAGCATATTGCACTGAACTAAGAACTGCATTTTTATGGTAATGAAAACAAGCATAAAAGGAAAGACTTAAAATGTGAGCTGAAAGAGTAAAAACCCTCCCTAACAGACACAGCACTTAGCTGCCACAAACAGCATAAGGCTTGACCCAAATTCCAAAGAGCCTGCACATTCACCCAAAATGTAAAATAATTTGAATTGGCCTTAACTGAATCAACTTGCTTTCCACACCTACACAGGCAGCTTAGACAAAAAACTGAAAATAAAACTTCAGTTGAGGAAATACCCCCTGACCAACCTCTGCAACATCCACCTACACATCTTTGCACTTCAACACAGATTCCTCAAAATTGCAGTTGTTTCCAGTGCGCAGCTGCCCACAAACCATTCCAGTTCCTCAAAGCCTCTTTCATACCCTCCCTTAGCTCTACCAGCAGTAAGGAAAATCCTTTACTTTGTTGTCTCGAGTGTGTTATCACTAAAGGAGAAGTTTCTGGGCCAGAGTTATAGCTGCAAGGATGATTCAGAGACTTGGACGGGTGCCCTGGATAATTACACGCTGTAACCAGGAGTTAGTTATGGAGTTAACTGGGATATTCGGACCGATTAAAATAAAGAAACGCCCGGGCCGCGGGCTGGACACGAGCTGGGCATTCCCAAGGGGATGCCCTGCGGGAAGGGCAGGGATGGTGCGGACCCCCTCTCATCCCCACGGATTAAATCTCCCTCCCGGGGGCTTTCGGTGCTCACCCACCTCTCAGCCCTCCTTCCTCACGCCCGGAGCTTCCCGCTGATCCGAGGTTCCCGGGCACCTTGTGCCCTTTTGCCGCAAGCTGACACACGCTCCCTGCCATCGGAACAGGCAGTGTCTGACTGTTCTTTAGGGCTGTTGTTCCAGGGCGCACAACAGGAGTGGTTTCCAGCTGGAGGCTATCGCGGCGGCCGGGCCAGACAGGCACAAGAGCAAGAGGGGGATTCTGCTAAGAATCCACTGGGGATACAAACATCAACCACTTGTGCAAAAACAACGAAAAAACAACCAAAACTCGCTCGGGAGGTGTCATGGAACCACCACGCTGCCTCCCAGCACCGGTTACAAGGAGAAGGGCTGAACTCAAAGGGTCAACACTTAAGAGCAGGAAGCCGGGAGCCCGCGGGACGCTGAGCGAGGCAGCGGCGGCTGCTGCCGACTCCCTGATAACCTGCAGAAACGCAGGGAAGGATGTGGGGCCATTAATCCTCTCGGCACCGGCAGCTGCTCCGAGGTTCTTCAGGCAAAGGGAAGCCAAGGCACAGTTCACACGAGCTCAGAGTCATCTTGACAAAACAATTCCACATGCTAAGAATACGTTAGGGCTGGCATGGGAACAAAGAACGCGGTTCTTCCACTAACGGACTCGCTAAATAAATGCCACTTAAGCCCTACCAAAGTTATTAGCGTGCCCCTCTTAAGAGTTTCACCACTTAATACTAATCAAACCCAGTTAAAACAACCGAGGAGGCAGGCAGGTGTCAGCAGGCGCATTCCACCTCGCTGAGAACACCAACCAACAGCACAAATATTACCACTCAAAACAAAAACACATCAGTAAAAACAAGACTGGGGAAGCGCGCGTATTTGAAGATGCGTATCAACTGCAGCCTACGTCGAAGAGCGCTGCCTCTCCAAACCTTCTAAAAGGAAAAGAGAAAACCAAAGGAAAGCTTTTGTATATTAACTCAATCAAAAGGACATGTTTAGCTTGGCTTCCTTAAGTCACTAAGCTAAGCTAATGTGTGATAGTGCGGGGTATCCTCCAATAAGTTTAGCTGAAGTTGGATTAGAGGCTCAGGAGCTGAGATTCCAGCCCCTCTGCTGAAATATTACAGTCATACATGTTTCATGGAAATAGGCAGTCATATAAAGGAGAGAAACTGCACATTCCATACACGGCCACAGAAAATCTGCAGGAATGAGGCACACTATGAAGTGTTTAGCCACAGAAAACGTTTCAATTAGATCTTGTTCCCTATTAAATAACAGAAAACAAAACATGAATGCATTAGAAACCAAATTTCACTGCCAATAACTGTACACCAAAGGAATTTAGAAATTAAAATGATCTATAGACTTTCTTTTCATTTTAAGAAAGGTATACACATATGTTTCCATGCTCATACCCTCTTATTCTGGAGACATAAAACAGCAACTTTCTTTAAAGGAAAACTAGATAATTTGAGGTGAGTAGCAGTGGAGGGGAAGCTACATTATTTTCATTAGTTTATGCATACTGCTGGGAATTTCTTCTCTAATCTGGAGCTTAGAGTTGTCCTTTAAAGCTTGGCAAGAAATTCTTCCAGCCCACAAGTTTCCTCACTTCATCTCAGGACACACGACTTCATGTGGATGCACTACCTCCACAAAGCCAGACAACTCTAAATGTGTCAGTTTTACCTCAGTTGCTCCCCATCAGTCAGATTTAACACAAATCAAAGTAAACATATATTAAAACCAAACCTAAGGACAGATTTTTAGTTACAGGGTTGGAAAAACAAGCCTGGAAGAAATGAATTCAAATTCAGTTTAAGAATTAAGAGTTCAGGGCTTATAGCAGCACCAACTTTCCTGCAAATACCTGCAGCTTCGAGCCAAGACCCAGCCTGAAGGGTTGGCTATTCCACCTGCCCCACAACTCCTGCTGCGGGAAATCCCTGGCCCTCTCCAAGGTCTCACTTTTTCCTCCATCCCTTTTCCAAGCCTGACCTGGCTTCCAGCTTCTTATCCTGTGCGAATACTGCTCGCTCATTCACGTCTTGCACTTTCTTTTTATGGAATGAAGATCTCAACAGAGAGGGAACCACTTCCCTTCTGGATATACCAGTTACACTTGGGAGCTGTAGGCAATTCCTGGCTTTTTAAAGGAAACACAAACGTTTTGGGATACGGTATTCACACAGGCAGAAGGGCTGCTACAACAGTGCAAAGGGTTTCCCCTTCCCTCTTGCCCTCACCTACCTACAAGCAGGTAGAGGAGAAGGAATCTGTGTTTAAAAGGCAGCAGTTAACAGGTATGAACATCCTTTCAATAGATCTAGCAGGTTAAAAATGGATGGCAAAGCTGTACAGACAGTGTGCATCATTCTGCAGACCTACCTCTCTGGCAGCGATCGTGGGTCCAGCAGCGTTCAATGAAAATGCCATTTATTACAGTAGGTGGACAGTTGCTTTTCCCCTTCACAGTTCCAGGACACACGTCCCCACACTCCTCCTTGTCGTCCTTGTTGGCTACGATGTAATTATCTTCCACGGAATCCAAAATCCGCGACCAGTCGATGGTGGACAGGTAGCAGAGCTCGTTGTTCTTCTCGATGCGCACGGCGCCCCGCGTTATGTTCATGAGGTTGTAGAGGCCGATCTCCTTCAGGTGAACCATCTCGAAAATGACCAGCGCGTAGTTGAAGAACAGGTGAGTTCCTCGAATCACAGTGAGGTTGGGGAAAAGCCCCTTTAAGCTCTCTAGGCCATAGACACGGAAAAGCAGCAAGTAGTCTGTAATCATAGTCAGTTTGGGAAAGCTGAGCTCGCGGAAATCCTCAGGCTTGGTTTTAAACATCAGCAATATTTGCAAGTGGCCCTCGATCACGGTGCAGTTCTCAAGCATGTTCAGCCGCGTCAGATTGTTGCGAATGTCCATGCTCCTGCAAACTGCAAAGCAGAGAACAATTATTATTTTAAGGCTGCAGCTTTCTAAATACACACCTTTTTCAATCACACCACAACACAATTCATGATATATAGCTACATTCTTTTCAATTAAGCAGGCTGCAAAGTGTTAGGAAATACCCTGTTGGGAATGCTCCCTGTTACATGATTACAAAATAAGGCTGAGAGCATTTCATAATTTTTTTTGTGCCATCCTGAGTTTCTGGGTATTACTTCTATCACGACGGAGCTGTAACACTAGTCTTCAGGCGTCACTTGGCATTTACCAAAGTCAGATGTGTCCATGCAGAGGGGTCTGTTTTCTTTAGATAGTTGCCAACGACACACCTACCTCATCTCAGATTGTGCAATTAATGCCAGTGGATTAGAGGGAGTAATTCAGGAGAGAAAGATAGGAAATGGCAGTATTCCGGAAGAAAACCCTGGAAATACACACAGAAGAGCACAGCACATACTCATGCTTAGCCTTTGCTGACAGAAATAATTTACCACACTAATAATGATTGCCCGAAGCATTCTTTGGAGATTAGATGGGTTTTGTTCCTGCGCTCTAAAGGTTGCAAACCTCCCTGCTTCAACTATCGAGACAATTTATTTAGGAGAATCAATAAGCCGGAGAAAGAACTGGCAAAGTGAACTACTACATCCAGCACAAATTAAAAGGTAAATAGAACAATCTGAACCCAGACACCAGCAAAATCAGAAACAGGAGGAGAAAAAAAAACAAAACAACACTTGGATTGGAAACAAATTGGATTCGAAGAATAGGTAAGAAATCAAGAAGGAAATGTAGAGCACAGCCCTTTCAAACCAGGCTTGAGAAATACCCAGGCCGACTCCAGGCTGGAAGGGGAATCTCTGCAGGTGCAAAATCAGACCGGGAAAGTTTTATCCAGGGGCAGGGGAGCTCCCAAGAGCCGAAACGGGACCTTCCACCTTGTGTCGCTGCATAAACTTCACTACAAAGTCACCACATCCCGGCTTCAAGAAACCATCCAGCAAGCAAACCTCACGAAGCTGATTTATAACAGATATTTAGTATTTATGACTGCCTGACTCCTCACCATTTCACATATACCACACTGTGTGGGTTAAAAATAAAGAGCATGCAAAAGTCTTAATGATTATTCAAAAATGTGCTTAACTGCAATAATAATAAAAAAAATCTGGCAACACTAATACAGGATTCAGAGCAATGTTATTGCCCAACAGGATTTTTTGGCACTATATACAAGCTGTTTCATAAATTGCTTTCTGGAAGAAAAAGCTAATGCACAGTGCATCAAAAAAAAGAAATTAAAGTGGCAAAGAAAATCTGATGCCCAAAGAGCAGCAACTGCTTTGCCCTGTGAAAAAAACTGCAGCCAAACTGGAAGTCAGTCAAGAAGGTGCCTTGCTGCACATCGAGCCATGCAATAAAACACTGGGAGAGCAACAAGTGCAGTTTAAGGAAGTTCTTTTAATATTTGTTTTGAACAATGAAGATAGGTACGGCCAAGGAAGCAAGTGTATGACAGGGAGGACCCCATTACACAGCAGAAGGGTTCAAAGGAGCCACAACGTTTTGCTCAGCAGTATCTAGGAAGACCATTTATGCCTCCTGAGTTGAATCAGGAGCAGACTAACTATCCGGGAATGCAAAATCCACCTTCCTGGTCCTTAATAACTGCGTATGGAGCACCCAGGTGGAGCGCAGCAAGCTGAGCTGGGAGCCAGGACCGACTGCTGTGCCGCGCGGTAACGAGTAATTGGATGTACACAGCCAGCCTTAAGAAAACTGAAAGCCTTAAAAACAAACCACCCAAAGCTCAACTCCACAGAATAATAATTACTTCCAAAAATAAAAGCTCTAGGCTTTTATTGTGGCTCAAAGCCACAAGATGCATCTACACACTGCGCCGAGCTGCCGAGTCTTTCATCATTCCAGCTGGAAGCTGCCGGCCGGCCACGGCCGCCCCCGGCACACAGGGATCACCCTGTTCCTGGGCGGGAGGAGCTCCGGGAAAGGGAACACCGGGAGCTTGAGGAGCGACGAAGGATCCGCCGGGATGGAGCCGGCTGTGACGCTCCACGCGCGGTGCTGCGGACAACGGGCTCTCCATGGGCTCCACGCTCCTCCGGACATCCAGGAGTGCCCAATGATCCAAGCGCCCGCGGATCGGATCCGGATCGCTGCTGGCTCACCAGGATCACAAACGATGCAGCCCGTGGAGCGGCTCCAGCTGCAAAGGCGCTCCGAAACCCTCCCAAAACGCACAGATCTACAAGGCACAAACCCGCCAACCTTCGGCTTCGCCTATCCCGAAACGCATCCCAGCGGCTCCGGCAGCCCCGTGGATCCTCGGGGTGTGCCGAGGAGCAGGAACCTCGGAAAGGCAGGTGATGCTGTGAGCAAACAGCAGAGCGTCCTGCAGAGCTCAATAACCACCCACATCTGCTGGAGCTGGACACACATCCACAGGCTGTCGGCTCGGTCTGCATCCTAGACCTATTTTTGTATTTTTGGCCAATCCTGAACTCTCGGAGAGAAGGAATTACTTGTGAGTGGCGCTGCCGGCGCTGGCCAGACAGGAGATTCCACACGCCCTGGCAAACAAGGAGCTGACCTTCCTTATTCAAACTTTGCTGCCTTTAAGGCTGAGCAATGGCAGGGTAATAAACTGCTACATTGTCTGCTATGTTTAGGAAATTCCAATACTGGGAGCTACTGTACAAATCCTTTTAATGGAAAGCGCTCAAATGCTGCAAACCTCGCGCTGTTCTGAAGCTTGCGCAGCATTTTAACAAATCACAGGTTTGCTGCTCAAATAAGCAACTGACCAGAAGGCACAAGCTACCATCACTCTTAGATTTTGGATTTACAGTTAAGGCATTTATCTGGATTTTTACACATCTAGAGAAAAACTCCACTTAATTATTTTTCAGGTTGCCTTCCAGTTTAGCTCTTAAGTGATAAATATTGCCACAGTGTCTGAGCTGCTGTTTTACTGCTTCAGGATCAGGGAGCTGAAGTCAGGAATATCTGATAAAACGGGCTTCTCAGTTGCAGACATCTCAGTCCCTCCCTGCTTTTGAATTCTCTTTAGCACTTCGCATCTTCTATTCATGCAGTAGCTGCTCAAGTCACCCCATAAATATACTGTTACCAAGACAACAAAAAGGAGTTTTAAGCACAGTAATACGTGTTTTCCCCCAGCTTCTCTCAATAATGCTGCTTCTGCAGGGACGGGGGAGTTGTTCAACAACTCAGCACAAAAGCTGCTCAGGTCTGGTCCAGCAGAAAGACACCGAAGTGAAAGTCAATTTTAAGACAATCCTTCTGCTAAAATACAGAAAACTGCTTTCAGGATAAGAAAAATATCAGATGGGTTCTCTAGCAGTAAGCCCCAAACCATTCCTGTTCAAATTAGAGGCAAATTCTCCACTAAACTTTACCAGAGGCAGCTCCTCATGCAGGAATACAGCGTTACTATCAGGGAGGAAACACTACATCCCCGGCTGCTGAGCTGTACAAAGCAGCTTGCTGGAAAAAAATTATATATATATATATATACAGACATGTTTCATCAGACTTCCAAGGAAAAGTTGCAAGATGCACTTTTTAAAGCAAGCAAACAAAAAAACCAAGAGGCCAAGTCTTTTGAACAAACTAGTTTGGTAACAAGCTTAAAGTACTGAATGAAGAAACCAGATCTGATGTCCAAGGTTACCTTATGAGATACAGCCTAAGCGGGGAAATATCTGGCACTTAAGTCTTGTTTATAGTAAACGATTGGGATGGCAAAGCGTGGTGATTCACTGCCCCGAGCGCTGGCCCTGCTGCAGCCTGGACCAGGATCCCGCAGCATCGCGCACCGACATCGAGAAAAGCAGCAGGAAATTCAACGTTTTGGAAGCGTTCGCTGTCTACTTGAATAAAGGAGTTGTTATGAAAAACAGCACTCATTCTGATTGAGTCAATGGCTTGTGTTTCTCTAATGCGCACCCTTCGAAGTGATCTCAGGCAACTGGAAAAAGGGCTTTCCTGCGTTTTGGTGGATCTGCTGGATGTTGTCATGCCTCAGCAGTAAGGGACAGCAAGGCAGTTTCCAGCCTACGGCAACACTAGTTGAGCGAACTCAAAAGCTCATTTCTAAACTTCAGCTCTCCACCTCAGCCGTTTAGATTAGAGCAATGAAAAGCCCCTGGATTCTGCGCCTTCTCCTCACACCTGGTTTGCTATGGTATCACATTCTCCATGGGAGCATCAAAACGGTAACAGAAAAAAGGAAGTTTTCTATTGCAGTGCTTTCCACGCAGAGGTAAAAGATGTGGAAGCAGGAGCATCTCGGGACGCAGCCCAAAAGCAGCCGCGACGAGGGGCACGAGAGCACGGACCAAGAGAAGCAGAGAGAGGAGGACCCGGGGGACGCCACGGTTGGGGCCGGGGACACCGTCACCGGAGCGCGGCGTTATCCGGGCGCACGGGACACCCGTCTCCGAGAAGGCAGCTCCGGCAGCGCCGTTGCTCAGGGAACGGCCCGCTTGCTTATGCAACCGCCGCGACGTACAACCGCTCGTGCGCGCGGC